TACAAATTATCTTGCAAGTCTCTATGTCTACCATATATTATTACCGATTATTCATTCTTTCTACTGTAAAATATGATATATATCTATAGATATCTGACTTAGGTTTCTGTTTAGTAAATTCTTTTATTTACTTTTGGTTCTCGACCATTGGAAAATTGTATAATTTTATTTGTTGTTGCAAGAAATTGTGAGGCACCTGTCCATGGACTAACACTTTCTTTACATAAACTCATTCGACGCGTATTTTCTCGATCAAGTAATGCATCATCAGGTTCATGATGAGTCTTTGTAAGAAGTAACATTCTTAATAATTATAATAATAAGCTTAACAACAGAAATTTTTTTTTATCATTTCAACAAACCTTCCAACAAGATCAGTTGTTGATATACCTTGTGTTCGTTTACATTCCCGATATCGACCAGCTGCTTTAACAATATGATATGTATCAATACCATCAGCAGTTACCTGAAAATAAAAAAAAGATTTCTTATCAAAGAAAAATAATAAGCTAATCATTTTATTTTTACTGTAATATCATCTCCATGTACACAAAAAGCACAATTATATTCTTCTAATGTTTCAAGTGTTGTTACATAGGGAGCATTTTCAACAACTTGATCAACCCATTTTATAGCTCGTACCATTTTATATCTTTCTTGTTCTGTAAATACTGGCGGACCTTTATGTTTAGTAATTTCCTCTAAATAAAATAATAGATTATAATAATTATTATTATTATTTTTTTTTTGTTTTCAAAGATTTCAATAGATATAAAGACAAACCATCTGAATGAACACCAACAATTAAATAATTTCCCATTTGTTTTGCTTGACGACATGCATTAGCATGACCAAAATGTACCATATCATAACTTATATAAATCCAAGAAATATTTCTTCAGAAGAAAAATTGAAATACTCACCAACCATCCATCCATACTCGAACTTCTTGATCAGGTTTTTTTCCAGTTATATATGATGTGCCCATATTTTATTTCTTTATCTAAAAAAAAAAGTGATTTTAGTCTACAGTAAAACAAATATTTTACAAATTAATCATTGCTACAATTAAATTCGCAAAAAAATCAGATACGGTAATGAGCATGATTTCGTATTAATCATTTGTTCATTCGTCATAGTTGAGAATACAATAGGAATTCTAGAATCAAATCCTTCATGAAATGTTTATTACTAACAAATATTTCTATTAAATTCAATTGAAAAAAAATTTTATTCAATTTTTACATACTAGTCGGAAGATTTTTAGAAAAAAAATAGAAATAGATGTCGCACTATTATCGTTCCTATGATACAGTTCCATTGCAATACACAAATAAATAAAAAAAAAGCATTACTAATATTGCGTAATAGAATATACCATAAAGTAAAAATAGCCAAAGATTCTAGTTTAATGTCCTAAAACCAATACATGGTAGTTGATGTATAAATGAATTTTCAATAATATATATGACAACTTTCAAAATCTACAATTCTCTCGAATTATTCAAGTATTTTATAGTTGGAAAATTAAACAACTTGTCGACATGATGATGTGTTTGCTATTGCACTATTAATAACTTTCAAAAGAAATTTTATCCATTCCGATGTATACTATTTTGTATATCTTAATGAACCAGCACTGGTAGCTGCAGGAAAAATATTAATGAAAATTGATGATTGATAAGATTCTTTAGGGTAGGTGTATTCTCGTCACCAACAGTTATCCATACCTTCTTTGTTGGTCAATATCAATGAGACAATATGAAATGATAAAATCAATTCGTACTTTCAAGTGTCGAAACGAAATGCGTTACGATTTTTGAAAGTTCGCAGCATAGTTGAATATATACTAAATATTCCTTCTACGATTGCATCTTTGTTTCTTGTCAAGGCAAGTACTTAGCATTTCCAGAAGAATATTATACATATTGAAGATTACTCAGGTGATGAAGAGCTGAGAGTTATAATGCATATAGTGGTGTGCAACTCTTCTTTTCATCCATCCTCGCAAGTACACTCAAAGATTGACCTTCTAATAACAAATAATTTTTTCGTCAACTAATAAAAGCAATAAAACATGATGCTGATAATTTCACAAACGTCAGTTATAATATCCCTATACTATACGATAAATAGTTAAATAATACACGTGGAAAATCATTAGTAATTTGATAATAATGTATATGGATATGAATCAATATGACATTGAGCACTTCTGTCATTTGAAAAATAATGTCATATTGTCACTCTGTTGGCTAATCAAGGCGAACATGATGAAGCTTTAGATTACTTTTTACGTTCGCTGAAAAACAACTAAAAAAAAGATTATAATTTTGCATTTGATTCTCTCGAAAAATCTTTGATGATATCAATGATGTTAGCCTAATTAGTACTCTTACATATATCAACTTAGTTTTGATTAATCAACAAAAAATATAATGATGAGTTGATTTATTCTATGCATGTACTTAATATTGTACATAAATATTTAACAGATTGTTTAACTCTTACTGGTATCATTTATCAAGAAATGAAAAATTATCATAAAGGATTTGAATATTTTGAAGAAGCTTCAAAAAATGAAGAGAAAAATCCTTCATACCCTAATCTTATTCAGTTAGCTCGCAATTATGATAATATGGATATCTGTTTGTCTTATCAGAATGATCATAGTACTGGATTAAAGTATCGAATGAAAGCTGTTAAAACAATCGATGCAGTTTCTCCTTGTGTTCAATATGCTAATTGAATACATACTATTGCGAATGTTCTTTGTCAAAAAGAATTATTAGCTGAAAGCTTAATGCGACTAGGTGATGTTGACATCGAAAAAGAAAAACTTCACAACGGACAAAGTAATAAACAATAAAAACTTGAAACTTGATTTTACTATGAAAAAGCATTTGATTATTTATCAAAAATAGAATCATTTTAATTGTGTTTATATCTTAAACTGTATTAGTGCCATTTATGGCAATATTCGTAACCATTGCGTTGCTTTTAAACATTACAGACAAGTATTGGAAATATCCAAGAAATATTCTCTATCCAATGATTCTGTCAAAAAGACAATTGAACAAAATATTGCTCGAGTTAAACGTTGTATGAAATAATAAATTGTGAACTTACATACAATACTGGCGAAAAGTATTCCTTCTTGATTCTCAGCACAAATCACGCTGAAGATCTGAAAATTTGTGAACACAAACCAAGGCACTTCTTACGACAAGAAAAGTGTGTAGATTTGAAAGGGAGCTCACAGCCTCACCTGAGAGCTATCAAGCCTCAAAGTTTGACTTCTCGAATGTTCTTCTTCAATATAAAAATATAATCGAAAAATATGTTATAGTCGATTCGATCAAGTTGTAAACGCTGAAGACAAATGTAGTCATCAACGAAAGAAACAAGTGTGATTCAGCTGTGAATAATGTGTAAGTTTTGATAAGACTCAGATAAAATAGAGGCCGTAATAGTTGGCATATAAATTTCAATAGGGGTCCCATTTGCAAGTAAAAGCTTTTAAGTATTGAAATGAATAAACTTTTATTACGAATAATTTGCTCTTCGAATAAAATCAAATATATTGATTTTAACAAAGTTCTCGCTTTATCAGGTTGATATCGTCATCAACTCAATGGGATTTTTCATTGCAATATAATTATATTTGTTCTAAGCATTTAGTTTTTATGATTGTGTCCATAGCAGGTAAGTAACATATGTGAGTAATTGTAAAAACAGCAAAAGCACACAACGTTGATAAAGAAAAAGCAAAAAATCGTTATCAGTTAGACACGTGAAAAGCCAACAAGCATGTTTTACAGTTCGAGACCTGTAGAGTCGCGTTTTCTTTTCACTTTGATTCCCACTTGGACTCCAATAAATTTTATTATTGACTTCGACATCAGTGAAGAGTGTGGGTATGGCTCAAGGAGAGACCATCAGTCACACCCGCATTCTATACGTATAGATAGATCTTATTTTTATCGTAAGAGATTGGAAACATGAATATAATCGATAAGAACCCGAATAGTATCAATAGTTTCCTATTCTATCGTTGTTTATCGTTTATTTTCCTAGAAAAAATAACTGAAATCGGTTGGAAACAAGCGGATGAGAACATCAACTGACAATATACTATTTTTCTAGACTGAGATCAAAAGCAAATAAAATTTGAGTTTAACATGGCTAATTTGTACAACAACAATAAAGAAATTGATGGTCTCTCGTATGACAACACACATAATATTTCCTGTGATGGATGTCAATCTTCACAAATCTATAGCGATCGATACAAATGTCTGCAATGTAATGACTATAATCTGTGTGGTAATTGTTTTGAAGAACGGCGTCAAACAAAAAGGCATTCGAGTGGTCATGCCATGGTTCATTTTAAACTGCCTAATGAGTTATTTGGGAAATCAATATCTCATGTAAGTCAAATCACATTAAAGAAAATCAACGAATTATTTATTGGCAAACAACATAGAATTGTATGCGATAGTTGCAAACAATCAATTATTGGTGTTCGATTCAAATGTGATACTTGTTACAATTATAATCTTTGTTCCAAATGTATGGAACAACGCAAAACTAGTAGAAATCATCAAAACACTCATCCATTAGTTGTTGCAAGCGATCAAAATCTAATTAAGATCGATATTTCTGATATTCGCAAGGGTGATTTACTTGGTCAAGGGGCTTTTGGTGTGTTGAGTTTTTTTTTTGAAGTGTTTTTGTTTTTAATTCATCTCATTCTTTGATATATTCGCATATATCTATACATAGGTCAAGTGTACAAAGCGACGTGGCTATCAAAAAAGCGTCTTGTAGCTTGCAAGGTAATTGTAGTAACATCACAGCGAAGCCATTTAGAGGACAGTTTCCGAAAAGAGTTAGCTGCTTATGCAGAATTATCTGGTGCTTATATTCTCAAAACCTTGGGCTTTGGTGAACATATGATCGGCAATGGAATTAAAGAATGCTATTTGATAACAGAGTTTATGCATCGTGGAAGTCTTGCCAATGTAATCTGTGATCGAAGTGAAAAGATTTCGCTTCGACGCAAACTTTCCATGGCATGTCATATCGCCAGTGGTATGCAAAAATTACATGCTCATTGTCTGATTCATCGAGATATTCGTCCCGATAATATTTTGGTTTCAAACAATTATACAGCTAAAATCGGTGATATGGGTATTGCGCATGTATTCAATCCCGATGAAAAGCACACATTGATGGGTTGTCTGCCTTTTATGCCACCTGAATTTCATCGGTAAAACTAGAAAGAATTTTAGTAATCAATTCCCTATCTTACCGTTGCACTTTTTATCTAGTGGAAACGGTCAGTATGATCAATCTCTCGATGTATTCACTTATGGATTGACACTTAACGAATTATTTTCTGAAAAAGCACATCAATTTAATAAAGTAACCAAACATATCAAACTGATAGAAAAGAGTCCAATCTTTGCCGATCTAATTATTCAATGCATTAGTGATGAACCAGGTCGACGACCAACAGCGGCCGAACTTCAAGATATACTCTATAGCTTTCGACGAGCATCTGACAATTATATCCAAGAGAAACATTTGAACTATGCAAGCCAAACATTAATGGCTAAAAATAACATTCTTGTGAAGTTCTACAATGAATATCAAAAACAGAAACGTCCCGTAGAGCCCAAGCCAGCTTATATACCACCACCAAGACCGCCTATGGATTCTGATTTAATGCGTCAACATTTTAATGATATGATCAAACAGTTTGATCACGTTCGTCGACTAGATTTTCATCGAGAAAAAGATCGGAGACGTTCTCCGCATTTCATCAACTGGATGAAATATTTCGATGATGAAAGCATCGATGACATAAGTCCTAAATTTGAAGCCGATGTCATGAAAATCGATCGACGACCACCATCATCATCTGTATCATCATCATCAAACTTTCTTAAACTTCACGATGAAAGTCATCAACAATTTCTCAACATTGTAAAACATAAACGCTCACGCACTCCGGCTCCTTTGTCTCCGATTTTTGGTGATCTACAGCATCGTCACAATTTTTCTCCTTTTGTAGATCCATTTCCACCAATTGACATGAACAATGATATTGAGCAACGTTTTCGACAATTTCATTTTGATGATAATTTCGATCGACATGCTGCACGATTTCGTCGTAAGATGCAACTGTTCAAATAGATTCTCACATTATCTCATACATGTGATCGAAGACGATTGCTAGATCAACGAATATAAACACTTAATGGCGATTGTCATTTTGATATTGCGGTACAGGCTATGTTTATTTTATATTTTCATTGCATGAAATTACAATTATATATATATATTCTCTTACCCATAATAAATCCTATCCCAAGCTTTTTTTCTTGGGAAAAAATGATTGTTCATTAGTAAGTCGTTGTATAAATGAACATAACTGAAATACAGATCATCAATATGAAGTTCATTCTAAATTCAGAGATCATTTCTGACAAGCTGTTCACTACTCTTTTCTATTCTCATCAACTTCATACATTAATTCTGAAACAAAATTTATCGAACTTAATAAAGATTATGAAGTAGATATGTTCGTTTCTCTAATTAACTTCATTGACAATAGAAAAAATAGATGTTATAATTGATGAACTTGAGTCATTTCTTTTGTTAATACCATCTTTTAATTATTTAAAATTAATTGGTGAAAAATATGTATTAGATGGCAAACGAGGTGGACAATTATCCAAAAAAAATTCTCATTTTTACGTGTTTGAATTAACAATTGGACGATTTCGAAGTCTATTTTGAATTGAATATAAAAAATGGTTTGAAGTCTGCCGATAGCCTTCTAATCAATCATATAGAATTCAAATTTATTCAATATGAATTAGACTCAAATTATATTTTTTTTTCTCGACAATGTTGTTGAATAACAATCCATTAACAGTAAAGAATACAAATGAAATTATCAACAGTAGGAAATATGAAACAAGAAGTTTGTTATGAAATAAATATTGCTCAAATATATTTATTTATTTATTTGTAAAAATAAACAAGAATCAATTTCATGTTTCCTAGAATAACTAAAGTTAATGTAGAGATTTATACACAACCTCTTCTGGATTCATTTCGAATCTCTTCCATCAGTAATCGATGTTTTTAAATCGATTGAAATTATATTAGAAAATCATTAGGTCAACAAAGATAATCAAAATATTTTGTTTGAAATTATTTTTATTCCTGATTCCATAATGCTTTCAGTCAACAATTTTAGAAAGAGAAAAAAAAATAAGATTGATGAAAATAGAATGAGTACTAGCGGTTTTTTCGATAAGTAGTTTCATAGATTAATTGTTGACGAGTGGATTGCTTTTCCTTTGTCTTTTTTGCTTCAAGGTATATGACACTCGAGGATTAACTTATTATTTTCGTTAGTTGGAATTCCCACAGAATATTAAGAGCTAACGCCATCTCATGTTGTATAATCGTCGTCGCAAAGGAACTACTTAGCATGTATGCAATGGAGACTATGTGTTTTGTTTTTCTATGACGTTTTTTCTTTATTGGTCTATTATTCTTAACATATCTTCCTCACGTATCAATCATTCATTACAATCATTGTAAGCACTCAGATTATCAAATATCATATGTTTTTCAGTATAAAAACTCATTCTTTTGTCTTGAAACTGACTTTTCGAGAAAACGACTCATGTTATCAATATAGTACAAAAAATTCTTTTATGATTCTATAGATTTGGTACTTCTTTATTTGTTTTATCGATGTTTTGACTATGAGGATGTGAGTGAATGTTTATCAGTTTTCTCTATGATAAATAGTCAATCCAGGCATACAGAACGTTACGTTTCATTGTTCTGTGATAATGGTGACATATCATAGAGAAGTAAATTGACAGATGTTGCACGTTAGACATCGTCATTGAATAAATTTCTTGTTTCTTTCTCTCATTATCGTATGTGTCATATATATATTGCGAGACATCGAGTTTTCTTCAGAACATAGTGGCCGTGAGTGTTGGATAAGAATTTTAGATCGTTCTACTATAAAAACGTTGTTTTTCTCTTGCACGAAATGAAAAATCTTCTTTTTTGCCGTAAATAAGCGTGATCTAATGCAATACTTCACATCGGATATCTGTATTAGTATTTAACACTTATCCAAAATATACTCTAATTACTATTTTAATCAGATAACTTAGAATTCGACAGAATACGAGATACTTTTATCAGAGCGTGGTAGGTAGGTTTGAAATGATCTTCGTAGAAGAAAAAGAGCGAGGAGATATTGAATTATCACTGAATATATAATTTATGAGAGGAACTTTTTTTTGTCGAGAAGAACATCTGCTTTCGAATTCAATTATTTTTGCAGATCATCGTCAGATAGATGTTGCCTCTTCAACATTTATTCGTACCAAACTAATCTTGAATGATGTCCAAAATTGAGCTTTAGTACGACAAACAAAAAACCAAATATTCAATATTTATCTAATAAGTTGTCTAAAATCGATCATAGGTTTTAGTACGCTTACATGAAAGACTCATGAAGAGAAGTAGATCATATTTGAAAAATTCAAAAATAACAAATCGAACGTATAAGCGAATTTTCGATTGATTATGATGAACAGTGCACCGAAAAGCGTTTGAATGCCTTCGATTTAATAAATAAATTTGTAGGGATCAAGTCAAAAAAGACTGAAACAGATACATATCAATTTACATTCATTTAATCTATCGCTTTCATGATTTAAGAATAAAAAAATAAGGAAACACATGTTGCAGATAGAGCAAGAATTCAAAAAGAGATATATCGATCAACATTGTGTGTTGGGTCGTTTTTGCTTTCGATCAATCAGTACTATTGTCAGATTTCTTAATGGATCTATCAATTTCTTTTCTTTTTCTTTCCCTCACTGATTTATGATGAGATCAAATATTTCTCTCGCCTTTCAATATTCATGTTCTGTTGACTACATTCAGTTCCCATGCAATTCATAGCCTATCCTCGACTGTTGATTAGCTATGCTCTATCAACAATATCAACATTATTGTAATAAATTTAAGGAGCATAACCCTGCTTTTAAATTATTAGCTTTCAAAAAGTTGAATTGGATTTGGTAGGTGATCGGATTCAGTAGTATGGAAAAATAGTGAGACAAAGAAAAATTAAAATTGAAAAGTCATCTAGAAAGGTAAGCAGTACCAAGCAAAGATCCAGACAGATTGACTTTTGTGAAATCTGACCTGCCTAAGTGACACTCGCATCCAGTTCGATGCCTTTTGATCAGTATTTCGTGTTTGAAATATATGGTCTGACCTGCTAGTGAAGGCTTGTACATTTCTTTAATTATTAATACTCGGATTTCAGTCACCATCTTTTTGTCGAAATATATTTGTCTGATGTTTTCTTCGCTGCAATTTCGACGCTTTAAGTATTATACACGCCCATAAAGTTGTTAAGTGAAACGAAACGTTTCCTACAATAGTCAAATAATTAGTTAGTCTAGAATAAGAGTAATTGCCTAGCAAAAAGTTTGATTTAAAAGCTCAATACGATATGTAAAGGGTATGAATGACGAGGAAGATTTTCTATTTATCCACACCCTAAGAGATTGTCATGATGACTTCTTAGTTTTTCAGTTTTATTCTCACTCAGCATGGTTGTCAAATAAAGTTAGATTTTCTGACTCTAGTATCTGTTAATCTATCTCAAACTATACAACAAGACTTTTTTCATGATTCAAACTCAAAAAATTATATGTGTGACGACAAATTTCAATGGTATAGTTGGAAATAGATTAGCAGATAACAAAGTCACATCGTCTAACTTATATGACAGCAATATAGGATCAGAATAAAACTGAATAACTAATAAAACGTCATGATAATCTTTCAAGGAGTCTTGAAATAAAGAATTGTTGCCGTTTCTTTATACAGATCGCTTAATTTAAAAATCCGATGGTGAAAAACGCGTTGCATGTTTTGACCAGTTATTATAAGTTAGAATTTTAACCGATTAGAAGCTCGTCCGAAAGTTTTAGCGCGTTTTTTTTATTGATTTGGTCTGCCTAGATGATTTTGCTAACGAAAGCATGGGGAATCATTTAAAAGAGTTTTATCATTTGTCTAGCAATGAATGACTTCTGTAAAGTTCGTTTAGTTCTCGAATCTTTGCGTTCCTCGTCTAGATGATGAGGGTATTGAGCTCTCATCGTGCAGTACGTGATTTACAATAATGGAAGATAGAAAAAAACAAAGCGAAGAGGTGAAAAATGTGATCTATGCTTGTCACAGATAGACAGATTAAGAGTTCTGTTTGAGAACATGATACTGAGTGATTAAAAAGATAGAAGATTAAACATGTGATAGTGATGAATCTGTCTCTCCTTTGTGTTCTTCCTCTCTTTGCATCATGGGTTTTCTTCTCATTCAGGTTTAAATCATGAGAATGACAGGAGAACTAGTCATTTTTGTCTAAAATATGTTCGATAATTCGATCAGTAATTGTTACTTTTTATTCCATAAAAAATATCAAAAATATAATTGATGTTTCAATGAAAATCAATTTAAGTCTAGCATGTTTCTTTTATAGTGCTACTTACATGTAATAATGAGCGCTACTCCACTCAATCCCAGCTCAGTCTCGATCTTAATGATAAGGAGTAAGTGCAAATCCATCTATTTGGCGGTTAATTTCATATGAGCGGCTTCCATTTCTAATATTGCAGGCGGATGTTTACGAGCAGAATTTGATTCAAATTATCCGATTTATCTGAATGGTATTATTGGCACAGAGGAATTTAGAGAATCAATCGATAATATCAATCGAAGCATTTCGACAACAAAATGCTGTACCAGATTTGCTGTTGTTATTTTTTTGTGCATCGCTACGGGAATGATCTTAATCAGTGTAGGAGGTATAACATCAATCATTAATGGTACCCATGCGTCTCATTCAGCAGCTTTCGTTGGATTTGGAATGACATGTCTTGGAATGATTTGTTGTGCTATTGGAACTTGTACGATGGAATCACGCCGTTTGAGTCGACTGAAAGAAGCGATTGCTGAAGAATCAATGAAATATTCGATGCGATCACCAATCTCATGTAGTTGGCGATTGGATACCACTAGAATATGCAATGAAGAATATCAAAGCAAATTCAGACGTCATCGAGTTCACTATGTTGTAAGCTATAGTCTCTTGTTGATCTTCTTCGTATTGAAAACTAAAATCACATCTAACTCATATAACCAAATCGACTTTTTTTTTCAAGTTTTTTCATATAGTAATAAACAAGAGTAAAATGTATCATAGAAAGAGAAAGTTGAATGGAGTGTTCAGAGATAAATGAGTATTGAAAAGCATTCTAAGGATTCTCATTGGATTTTTTTTCATTTCCTCATTGTTTCAGATAGTGATTTCGATCGGTCAAAATCCTTCAGCTCATCTGAATCCGCATCTTCCTCAATCATCAACCCCACTTCGGCAAGATGATGCTCAACCACCACCATATTCTGACACGTATGCCAAATTCTGCTCTGAATGTGGTCAACCAAGACTAAATCCATTAGCAAAATTTTGTTCATCATGTGATCAATCATTCAATTAATGCTAAAAACAAAATATTTCGAATTTATCTTTAAACTACAGATAATCTTTGTTGTTTGCATGAGAAACAATGGTTTTCTTTATTCATAAAAAAATCCGTTTTTTTTTATCATGAGAGTTTATACAAGACATAGCTTAGCTTTAAACATTTCATTTAAAGTCATTATTTTAAATGATTAAT